GTCCGGCTTTCGTGGGATGGCTGCAGCGGGAGCTCGCGTCAAATCTCAGACGCGGTCTCGTCATTTTCATGATGGCCCCGTCAGGCCAACCCGAGTCCCCCGAACCCGAGTCTAACGTCTCCCCGACTGAGGAGGACGCGGAGGAGTAGCAGCTTCTCCCCTGCTTTTTTAATGCGGTCTCCTCCCTTCCTCCTCCCCTCCTGTCGGCATCTGTCTGTCTGTCTGCCTCCCCATCCTACCTTTCTCAATTACCGCTGATGACCCCTGGAGCGGTGCTCCAGGGGTCACCTGGCCCTAGTTTGATCCCCCCCCCTCAGGGCCGACCAGCTCTGGGAGGGGAGGCTACGTTCGACGAGCCTTGCAGCCACCAGGAATCAGGAATCAGAAAGAGGAGGAGGAGTTTGATGGATTATGTTACAGTCAAGCCGCAAGTATGGACGAGCAACTTTCCAGGGTTACCGTTGCATCCTTCCCTTCGGACCATCCTTTGCCGCTCTCGCTGGCCGCGCCCCGCCCACAGAGTGTCGACATAACCTTCCAAGGCCCTTGCATCGTTATCGTGCGCCCTTATTTTCGTGCTGCCTGTAAACGTCGGAGTCTGAATCTTCAGCTGGTGTCAGCGCGCTCCGCACCAACTGGTCCCTGAGGCACTGTTGCATATGATGGTATGGCCCCTCGCCGTATTCGTTACCTTCTTGCCGGTTCCTGAGGCTTTTGGCTTTGATGGCCTGCCTTTCACCTCTCCGAAGGCCAGAAGTCCGAGGGAGAGGCGGGGGCACGCGAGGAGGAGGAGGAAGAGTGGGAGGAGGAGGAAGGAGCCGGTGGAGCGACACCCACAGCTCAGACCGCCCCCGACCCGGCTGTCCATCTTTCCGACTTCCATTGGCGACGTCTTTCTCGGACGGGTCCACGGTGTGCTGCTGCAACCTCGTCGTCGGCGCGGCGCACACCGACAGCCTGCAGCCTCGCGCTGGACGCCGGCGCCGGCGCCGTACCCGACAGGCGGGCGTGTCCCTCTACAGGAGGAATATTCAAAAATAGTAACAAAAATAGTCAGGGGACCATTTTTTGGCTAGTTCTTGGCATTTTTTGGGGATTTTTCTGGTATTTTGATTCTTCGATCAAAATCCGCCTGTAGGAGACCGCGTCCGACCTAAACTTATGGCCCCTCTGGTGACCAGCCATTCACGTCGTCGTCCCAATCCAGTGGGTGGCCCCATCCATCAATGTCACTCCCAGGTATGACGGAAGAAGCTCGCAGAGGGGGGGGGCGAGGCGGCGGACTAGGAGGAGAAGGGGTGGAGGAAAAGAATGTGAAGGAGGAGGAGGTGGAGGAGGTGGAGGAGGAGGAGGAAGAGGAGCAAGAGGAGGAGGTGGATGATGATAATAATGATGATGATGATGATGATGATGATGATGAT